AATTAACTGCATTATAATTTACAGTATGAAATTACAAACACAAAGTATTTTATAACAATAAAATATTTATGCATCCTTGCATTAAACATTCCAGGACATTTTTATTTTTAAGTCTGGTTACTTTCTGGTTTCTACTAATATACAAAGTCAGTCATTTTCTTCTTTCTAATAACTTTTTAATTTAGTAAAAGTTTTAAAATTTTATGGGTGCTGCAGAAGTCAGTGACATTTTAATATAATTGAAACAAAATAATAGTGAAATTCTATGTTAGATGCATTACATTCAAGAGATTTTGAAACGCAAGATATTCAATTGAACTTTAGCTGAAATTATTAATGTTTTTATCTCACCGATTTATTTGGACTGGTGTTCTCATAAATCAGAATATAATAATTCATATTCACTTTGACATTTTAAAACTTGAAAATTATTAAAAAATCTTTTTGTAATATAGTAAAAATATAAGTCTTCCTTCAGTTAAAATATTTATTGCAAAAAATTTTCAGCATAAAATGAATTTAAAAAAAAAAAATTTTTTTTAGCTTTCTTTCATAGAATTCTAAATCTTGTAAACAAATTGTAAAACCTTGAACATTGCAACTAATAAAATATAAAACAGCACTTTCCAAAAATGCTAACTTAAGGAAGGAAAAAAGTGCTTACAACATAGAATGATCCAATAATACTAAAGAAAATCAGAAGGATTTAAATTTTTGAAACTTTCTTTTGTAATCATAGAATGAAACAATGAGTAAACCTACACACTGTTAAAAATTTATTTAGCCAATTTTTAATAATATTTGCACTGATATTGATATTCTTGCTCCCAGAATTAAAAAAAAAATCCCATTTAGGATATACAAAAGAATCAGCTGGGATCTGCACAAGTCAAATTAAAACAAGTGTTATTAAATATTTTTAATACCAGAATATTAACAGCTTTTCGGAAAATGCTGCAAAATAAAATTTGCTATTATTTATTCATGTGTCGAAGGCATTTCATAAAATAATTCAAATCCTTCCAAACCATAAGTTACTGTTAATATCTATAGTTTAAAATCCTACTGAATATTTTGCTTCTACTTTTTGAGTATGTTTTCTAACTTGACATTTGGAAAAGGTTAAAGTAATAATTTTAAGAATTGCTTTATAAGTTTTTATTTTATATTTTAGAAAAATATAACTTAATAGTTTTAAATTAAAAAAAAAAAAAAAAAAAAAAATTGTTTTCTGACAATTTATTTTTTTTATTCAAACTATTAATAATCAATGTATTTATATTATTTTATAAATGAACAGAAAGAAAAGAAATTTTTGAATTTTTTATCATCAATGCAACTAGAAATTAATAAATTATTACCAAAATTAATAAAAATTAAAAAATATTTAAGAAAAAAAATGAATGTTTTTTTTTAAAGGAAAAAATAATGCTAAAATTTTATTCTATGTAAAAAAAAAAAAAAAAAAAAAGTAACTCTAAAAACAAAAAATTCTATAACAAATGATAAAAAGAAAAAAGGTCTACTGTAAAAATAAATAGTAAGATTATGTTAATAGAATATTGTTTTTATTCCTCTAAGAACCTATTTAGTATTTAAAGTTTTAAAATTACATCTAAATTATGAGAAACAGAAAATTAAAATGTATTTAAAATATTACTATATCTATTATCTTCAGAGAACAAGACAACAATATACTGAAATACTCAAATCTCAACACAAAAGTAGCAAATTAAAATTTAACAAATACTGAGATCAACTGATTAAAATAGTATTAAAGATAATTACAGACATAGACAAGCAGGTATTTTTAAACTGAAAATTCCCAAAATGAAACAGATTGGGTCATAAAGGAGCAATGTATTGGTTAGCATCAAGCATTTCAAGATATTTGGAGTTATAATTTTCAACTCTTCCTCTAAGGATATTGGGTCCCAAGAAGCTACTTAAACGATTTAGACATTGACTAGCTGCACTTGAGGTTAGAGAACTCTCACTGATTAATGCATAGAAAATGCAATCCAAGAATTCTTCAAGATGAGACTTAAAGTGACGTTTTCCAATGCCACCAGCTATAACTGGTAGTTTCTTACAAATAGTTTCCAGAAAATAAAGATGTTGTGTATAGTGATGAAAAGATGCTGCTTTGGCTACTAGAGGAAGAAGGGGAGTAATGAAAGAAGCCATTTCAGGTAAAGAGGATAGTTCTGCTATCAGATTGACACAACCATCTGCCAATTCCCAAGGCTCTGGAGGTTTACGGAACTTATGATCCATACAGCCACCACCACGCCCCATTTTAGGAGCCAGAGAACCACAAGAATACATCTGTTTATCAGTGTGCAATTCCATATCGTTATCCCTCAGTCGTTTTGCAACTCCATAAGTAGAGCTGCCTTTATCCAAATTTGAATATTTTTCAGCATTAGCTGACTGAAATTCAAGACCCATAAGTCCTTCTTTGATTTTTTTAATGCCAACCTCTGTGCTCTCAATGCCATATACCTTCATAACATTACAGAGTGCTATGGCTGCTCCTTGACGTACTGATGGAATATTGTCTTGGAGATTGTTGAAGAACAGAGGGAAAAGAATATCTAGTTTTTCTTTAGATTCTTCAGGAAAGCATTCAATGAAGTTTCCACAGGCCAGACAAGCTGCATCCCGAACAGGCCAACTATCATCTTGAAAACAAGCAACTAGTGCATCCAAAAGATTGCAAACATGTGACCGAATCACCGATTTGTCAATTTTTGACCCAAGCTCTGCGATGCAGGTACAACTAGCTTCCCTTACAGAATGGTTATCAGCACAAGTCTGTTCAATGTAATATTGAACTACTTGGTCAATGTATTTTTCTACTTGTTGTTTACCTTTTCCGTCAGTGATAAGACGCCAAGTCTCCTGCGAATAAATACGAACTCCCTCCGCTGCATAGTAACGGTTTAAGCACATCCGCGGCACTAAAACGGGGAAGAACTGGTTCCGAGCTTCGGGAGACGGAAGACTCAAAAGGAAATTGCGTGTCGCCACAGAAGCAGCCAAACGCACTTGGCTCCAATTATCAGAGAGCCCATCTCCAAGTTGCAAGGCTAACTGATCGCCGTAAATAAAGACGGCATTATCTTCAACCAAAACTACGGGTGTATCTCCTTGAGTGTTGACCCCACAGCTGACAAGAACCGAACACACATAAAATCCAGTTTCCCGAACAAAACGGTTCGTATGTTTTAACGCTTTAAAAACTAGATCTAACAGTTCCTGATCGATGTATGGATTGAACAAGTGGCCACATGCTTTGATAACGAGTTCTAAGCATTTCATCCAGGTTTCTAAAGATTTCCACCCAGCAGTGTCATGAAAGATTTTTTCTGCGCTATTCCACCGACAGAGGGCCCTAGTCTTAATTTGCCCACAGCTGGACTCTCCCATTTCATCATGTCTTGCATTATCTTCCTCGTCAGCGACAGAAGGCTCACGCGCTAAATTAGACGATATTCCTTTCAGTATTATATTCTTTGAGTCTGCATAAATTTTACTTCCACTCACTTCGCATAGGGCACCCATTACTTCACCTGCCGCCAGTCGAACTCGAAACTCATCATCTTCAAGAAAGTTCAACGATAGGCTTTGTCCGTTGGTTACAAACTGACCAGAAGCCCTTTTGCTTTGCAGTATCACTTTGCAGCCCATCAATGCGCCATGCTTTGTTTCCCACGAAGCGTCATCTTTGGTTAATAGACCTGTGATTTTCTCTTCCAGTATGTTGAGGTCTTCTTGTTCCAAATTAAGGATATTCCTCTGTAACTCCAAGACTCCTTTATCACGCTCTAATTTGGCAGCGCTGCATAACCATTCTAATGTTTTCTCCTCCATGTTTTGTTTTCCGACAGGCAAACACGCCACCTAGCGATTATGTCACCTGAATTACCTCCCTTGTGCCGAAAATAGTAAAGATATGACGCGGGAGCATTAATTGTGAATAAATAAATTACTGTTGGTGTGTTACTATTTCTCGTACTGTAATTTCGGTCGAGTGGCCTTGTGCCACATCTAAATTATGCGTAGTAATTCACCATTTCGTTCGAGTCGGCGTGCGGATATGGTTTTTACGCAAGCGGATAAATTTGCTTTTTAAGCCCCGCGCTAAATATCTATTACAATTTTCCCAAATCGTTATATTTCTGTGTAAATGTACACGCTGAACTCAAAATAACGATTACATTTTGAAAAAAAGCTACCGTTTTGGAGTTATCGACAATAGAAGTTCGGACTCAGTTAGTTAACCCTAACGCCAGCCATTACTGGCCTTGTATAACTACATTCACTGCGGAACAATTTGCTAGCGGAAACTTAATTAACGGCCTTTTTACTGCTCTTACTTGTCTAAATTACTACGCACAAGTTGTGCCGGAAAGCGATGACAAGTGCTGTTTTTTTTTCTTCAACTGTTGTTTTTTTTTATAGTAAATCGTTTTTGAATAAAAAAAAACAAATAATAAACTAAAGCTTTTCTTTTAAATTTAAAATAAAACAAATAATAATAAATGCGTAAAGTTTGCACGAACTTTGAAAAGAGCATGATTATTTACAAAATAAAAAGAAATGCTCCATCCTAACATCTTTTTTTATTTCGTAAATAAAAAATCATGCTCTTTTTTTTTTTTTTTACGCGAACTTTGTAAAGAGCATGATTATTTACAAAATAAAATTACTACAAAATAAAAAAAAAAATGATAGAAACAAAATAATTAATGCGCAAACTTTGTAAAGAGCATGATTTTTTTTATTTACGAAATTAAAAAATAATTACCTATATTTGTTTTATTTTTAAAGTATTGCATGACATTTATTTAAAAAAAATTATTTGAGGAGGAGAATAAAAAAAATAACTTCTATTCGTGTTCTAGAATCTGTATTCAACTTAAACCGGAATAAATGAATATTAAACGAATAGCTAGTCTTAGAATTCTATCCCATGACACCTTGCATTTCGGATAATGGCGGGTGAACATAGACGAGGGAGTACTGACTCCGAAAAACAAGACAATCCAGGTAATCTTGCATTTGTTTTTTCCTGCTTTCAGTCGGTATCGTTGTAGTCGTGTCGTAACATAAAATTTGGTTGGTTTTGTGGATATATTATTGTGGGGAATGGCTACTATGGCTTTTTACTTTCCTTCACATCTTGGCCGACTTGCCTCATGTGGTTGACTACTAAAATTAGTTCAAATCTTGTTCTTTCTTTTTTAGCAATAGTCTTTTTTGTGTGTCATCTCCAGGTCTTTATGTTTGCGTCTCCTTTATTAATTCATTGTTTATTTTTGGCGACTTTGATAGCTGAGATTAGTAATAGGGTAAATTTTTCTGTGAATTTCATTTCCAAAACGACTAAAAAGTGTATTTTTTTTAATATTTTCTTTTGTTGTTTACTGAAAAGAATGGTTATACCGTGCCGGGCGATCAGCATGTTCTAACTTATTTTTACATATTTGGTCGCATTATTGGAGCAAATGAAGCTTTTTTCATTAAATTTAGATATTTTTCTAAAAAGTTATACCAGATAATATTTTATTTGGTTTAATTTTAAGTAATATAAAACAAGATTAATTTTTAGAAAGTCAATATTCCGATTTCTGTCCTAGATGCCGGTACATCTTTTTTTTTAAGTTGTTTAGTTTAATTATAATAAAAAAAAACAAAACAACAACAAACTGACCGAAACCAAGATAGAAATAAAGGTTTTAATTAGCGTTTTGTTTTTGTTTTGTTTTTAATTTTTAAGGAAAGAAAAATATACGAATCCCCCCCCCCTTTGGGGCGGGGGTTAAAAAAAAGCGTTTGTTCCCATTTTTTTTACTAAAATAGTCAGGGGTGGTTTTTACCTTTTTAAAAACAAGAAAAAAAAAAGCAACCTTTTTAGTCTTAGCTTAAATTGTTTGGTTTAAAAAAAAAAAAATAAATCTGAATTAAATTATATTTTTCTTATCAGCTCTGATAAAAAAAAGAAGCCTTTTTTATTTAATTTTCTTTTGTCAAGGAAGATAACTTGATGTTGGAGTCTTATTTTAATTTGGGAGGGGGGGAGTATTAATTTGATTATGTTTTGCTTTTAGTTTATTAATTAATCTAATTTTAATTTTGACAATTAAAAAAAAAAAAAAATAATAATTTAATAGCAATCGCCATACATTAACTGCATTTAATTTTGGAAAAAAGTACAAATTACCATCTTGTGAATATATGTAGCTTAAAAAAAACAAGAAACGTATTTTTAATTATTTCTAACGAATGTTTGATAATTATTTAAAAAATGATGCCTAAAAATCTAAGCCTTTATTTTCTTTACTATTGTAAATGGCCACATGCTTCTGGTGAGGAAACTTATGAATCTGGGGCAGGACTACAAAATGAAAATGTAGAACATAAATTAATATTATTAAAGAAAAAAAAAAAAACTTCTGTTTTAACCAGATTTTCTTTTTATTGCACGAAGTGTTTTTTTTATTATTTTAAGAAAATTGGCTTTTTTAAATTAATATATATCTTTTGTTTATCATTTCTTCATTGAACTGTTTTTTATTTGATAAGTTTGTTTAGCTTTCATTATGTACTAAAAAATGATTTGATTTTTTTTTTTTTTCTTAGTAGTCTCTGGTTTTTTTTTTTACAAAAAATTTTTTTTTTTTTTTTTTTTTTTTTTTGTTACATTTATAAAATAGTAACTTTCATGGTTATTTTTTTTTTTTTTTTTGTCTTAAAAGAAATTGCCCACTCTAAAAAAAACAAAAAAAAACATCGCATTTCTTCATTTTTAAAACAATATTGCTGATCGGGTTAAAATGAATTATTAAATATTTCTTAAAACTAAAAGTAATATTTGATAATAATGTAATGATGATCATAATAACTTTGTTTCCTTTAATAATGAGGATCTTAAAAAAGTGTGTGTGGAGGGGGGAGACTAACGTCTTGTGTACAGAATGAATTACGCGCCTTATTGTTTGAATTTTCTATTTTGTTTCAAATTTGGATCCTCTTCCTCTCCCAAAAATCACAAACTATTTTCATTTTATTTTCATAACCTTTTCTCTTACAATTTATCTTACTTAAAGTACAAACTTTTTTGGTTCAATTTATAGGTTTTGGGCGAAACAATTTTGGAGGCAAATGTAACGCTATTAAAAAAAAAAAAAATGAAAGTCTTGAGATGAAATATTTGTCTCAACATTTCTGTCTCGTGTATGAAAAACCAGGAGATATATTCTTTGGAAAAAAAACAAACACAAACATATCACTGGCGAAAAAAAGACTTTGAAAAGTCCTTTGTATTCTCTACTTAATTATTTCATAAACAAATGATTAGCTTTTTTTTTTTTATGTTTACAAATCAAAAGAATGTTCATTACATTTTTTTTTATTTTCCCAAAGCACTTGCTGGATTTTCCTTCAATTAAACAGAAAAAAAATCAATTTTTAAAAGTAAAACTTTACCAAAAGGACAAATACAGGCCATTGGCATTGTAAATATAAATAAATTGTCGATTCAGAAACTTTTTAATACGAAGCCGCTTGTATATGAAATTACCAATAATAATCATAATCAACCTATACCCTGTCTTAAAAAATATTTTATAAAATAAGTTCTTTAAAGCGAACATGAAGGAAATAAAAAAAAAAGTTTTTGTTGCTGTAGGACCAAAATTTAAAAATAAACGAAATTTATACAAATAGTTATCTTTGTAATATTACAATTATTTGCAGTAAATTTCCAAAACCTTCAGTTTCTTCCTTGTTTCAAATTGAAGCTGAAATATTTTTGACATTATAATTCGTACATAAAATGTTGGCTTCCCTTATTTAATTTACTTTATAGGTCTATGACGGGAGGAGCTGTTAATTGGCATCTATTTTCAATGCATGTGTGTCAAAGAATGGGACTGAGGTTCCAGGCGTGTTGTGACAGCCAGTTTGCGTTAAAAGAAAAGTTTCGTACCAGTTATGTGATATACATTAGCGTACCAAACACATGATATCAAAGATTGTTAAACTATTTAAAAATAAAAATCAAGATTCTGAAAAGAAAAGAAATATTTTATTATTTTTTTATTTTTTTAACTGAACAGAATCAAATTGCTTTTTACCCTCTTTTCAATTCCGCTAAAAATATGAAACTTATGTGGGCAATAATTCCGAGGAAATAAAAATTGATATTTATTCCAATGAGCATTACATTTAGGAAAGAATTTATTTACTAATTCTTGTATGCCTTGTACTTTTTGCTGAGAAATTTCAATTTTCTCCGACTATAATTCAGTACCTTGTTATTTTTAGCCAATATTGTGTGCGTTTAAACAAACTGTCATTAAAAACGAAACCAAAATCTGATATAGACTGAAGTAAGGATTCAAATACACTTTTTATTGAATTTATCAGTCCTCCTTCATAGTAGTCATTGCTGGACAATCTCATAACAGATGAAGTGACTTGAAGTAACAAACATTGAAAATTTGATACTCCTAGGATAGAATTCATGTTTAAGAGGGTTAGGTGAAAGCATCCCACAATCTACCTGGTGAGCTTGAGCAAATGGATGGTGGGGTAGGGTTTCGAAGAGATGGCAAAAAGACAAAAGTTATTATGAGTTACAAAGGACAGGGAATTGTGTAGAACCATTATCACAAACACCCTGAAGAAAGGACGTGGCACATCAGAAGAATGTCATATATTTTTTGTATTGTCAAAAAAAAAAAAAAAAAAAGAAGTCATATTTAGTAGGTATGAAATATTCTGAAAAACAATTATAAAATCTTTTTCAAGTTTGCAAAGAAAATATTTTTATGTTCTCTTTGGCTAGATTTTTATACTTTAACTACTTTACTTTATATGGACTACTTTATAGAGCCCATGAGGTAAGGTAGTCAGTCTTTGGGCATTAGATATGCAAGTGTTCTCATTTAGACAATGTCAAATTTCTTCCTGTCCTGTCACTTTTATGAGGATTAAAGGAGTTATATTCAGCCTGATTATAGAGGACACCATTTTATTGAAAAAAAAAAAAACAATTAAAAACTCCAAAGGACAGGAAGTTGTGGAGAGTCATGATCTCCAACATCTTGAAGAAACAGGGTACATAGAAGAAATCTTTTTGCATGGGGGTCACAACAGCTAGGTACCAAATGAAGATGAAACTCTACACTTAGTCATATGTGAGCTTAGCTTGCTAACCTCCCCTAGACACAATACCCTAGATACCTTAGTTTTATAGTATATGGCTCCATCTTGGGGAGGGGCAAATGTTTTAGCAGATGAATGGATACAAATGTTGGTTATTTTTTTATTTTTATTTTTTTAAATTAACCCTTATCTTTAACTCTTTGCAAAAGTTAGTTATATTAATCATTGTACACTATTCTCTTAAAGAGAGATGGAGGGGTCATTTAAATGGAACATGGTCGATGCAAGTTTCCAGCTGTTCATGTTTTTAAGTTTGAACAATAAGAAAACTGTCTTCATCCTTTATTTCCGTAATTTTCATGGAAATGTTTTTGCTTCTTTGAATATGACTAAACTGAAAGTGGTTAACTTCTGGTGGTAAGGAGATTGAGTGACGATGTTTTCATTGAAAGTTTATCTTTGTTAAAAGCATTGTGGCTTTCAAGCCTCCTCTTTCAAATACCAATAGACAGAAAATAATCTTTGATATTGCAACTTTATCATTACAGCCTACACTTATAATTAAAATGCAGATGTTTGTGTAAAACTAGAAATCTGTTTTCAAGAAACCTTATTGGAAATATCAGCGCATTTTGATCTAAATAGATTCTTTAAATTCATAACTTGGTCACTATTTTTTTCTGTTATAGAAAATAAGCTATGTTTTTAAATTTTTTTTTTTTTTTTTTTTTTTTTATAAAAAGAAAAGGAAAAAAGGTAAATGATATTGTGAAAACTGTATTGCAGTTGTTTTTCCACCTGAATAAAATTTTGTCTCTACAAGGTAAGATAATTTGTATTTATTTCCAGCATTTTTACCATAACATCAATCATTATAT